ATACTCTGAAACTTCATCACGTGAGATAGATCAAATTTTAATTTATACCAAACATAAAGTAATTAATGCTGGAACACTTTTAGCGGATACGGTAGCCGATCATATGGCGGTTTTTTGTGAAATTAATTAATTAAAAATGATACCTTGTTTGTGATTTGGACGCAAAACTTGTTTTGATTATTTTAATGCTAGACTTTTCTAAAGCATTTAATACCATTAGTCCATCTTTGTTAGTTTCAAAACTTAAGTACTATGGTTTGGATGGGGTATCACTAAATATTTTTAAAAGTTACCTTTTTGATAGAAATCAATTTGTCAAAATGTATAATATTTCTTAAGATCTTGCTAACGTGCCCCTAGGAGTGCCACAAGGCTCTATTTTAGGGCCTCTTTTATTTATAATTTATGTAGCGGATATGTTTAATAAAGTTGAGCAATCAACAATACAGGGATATGCAGACGACACTCAATTACGTTTTAGTTTTTTAATTGACGATTTAGATAGGGCAACGGACAATATTAACTCGGACCTATAGGTCCGAGTTAATATTGTCCGTTGATGTATACATCTAATATCAGAGTAAACTTTGTGAAAGTTTACTTTCTTTCCTTTTTTAGACAAAATAGACAAAAACCGTATTCAGAAGGCGCAAAATAGCTGCTGTAGGTTTATATATGGCTTGCGTAAGTACGATCACATAAGTGAAAAATATAAAGAATTAAATTGGATTTAAATGGAAAATCAATGGAAAATTTCACACTTGATCCTGACCCTAAAAGTGCTAGCTAATTCATCTCCTTTATCGCTTAGGAAAATTTAGTTTTGAGTCAAGCCACGTCAAGTGGGACCAGAAAATTTCACGAAACCACCGATTTTGAAAATAATCACATTATTGTGTAGTAGGCATGACGCATATGTCACAGTAAAAAATTTGTTTTGAAATTCGGTTTTTTGTTAATGTTATTAAAGTTAATAATTTTGTAAAACTAAAAGAGCACGGTAAAATTGAAAAAATAGAATTTCTGGGACCACTCTGTATAATTGAATTAAATTTTAAACACTATTGTAGCAATGTTTAAACTATAGAATGATCATTTAATTAAGGAAAATTTGTTTAAATAAAGGAGTTTTGCATACATTTTTAATAAACAATTGAATTTTTTTGTGTTCTTCACGCTGAAAAAAAAAATTAATCTTGTGTCGTAATATGCGGCAAACGTTTCTGTTTTATAAGATGTACTCAAAAATTTGTCCTTCATATGTCGTTCCGGAGATATTAAATTTTTTGTCCCTCCGCGGCGGGCGCTTGATTAGTACATGGCGCGCTTCGCTGCTAGATCGTCCGGAACGCTGTGCTCACGGTGTGCCTGAACAAAGTTTAAGTCACATAAAAATGCCGCCAAAAACTGATTGCAATTTCTTGTTCGGGACCCTTTGGTTACTTAAAAATGATATTTACCAAAATCCTAGCTGCTCCTCTTTTCGAAATTTTTTGAAAATTCATGATTTTTGTTGAAATTTTTGTTTATCTCAAAGTCTACCTTTGACACACTTTGTACACCGATTTTTATAAAATTGGAGTATATTATTGAGGAAACTTAGATAATACTTTTTAATACTGTTCACATCATTTGATATATACAGGGTTAGCCAAAAATCACTTATTTTTAATAAAGCAAAAGCGTAAATTCATGGTTTTGGCATAACACGCAAAAAAGATTTATCCCCAATTTTTTTTAGATATTTCTACGTTTATCAGGTTACAAAATGACATTATATTAACATTTTACAAGAAAAATAGATGTTTAATAAAATTAAATAAAATAACGTTTAGAGAATATTTAAAATTTTGTTTAATTTAGGTTTTTTAGTAGTTTTCAATTTTGAACGAAAAACTGGTTGAAGTTTTTTGATCGGCACTCTTTGTTGATTTAAAAACTATATTTACCAAAATTCTAACTCCTTTTTTTTAAATTTGCAGAGTACACATTTGTACACCGATTTTTATTGGAGTATATTGTTAATGAGACTTAGAGAATACTGTTTTTATACTGAGCACATTATTAGGGTTAGCCAAAAATCACGTTTTTATAAAGTAAAAAGCATAATCCACAAAAAAGATTTATCTTAAAAAATTTTAAAAAAATCATGAATTTTCAAAAAATTTCGAGAAGAGTAGCAGCTAGGATTTTGGTAAATATCATTTTAAAGTCACCAAAGGGTCCCGAACAAGAAACTGCAGTCAGTTTTTAGCGGCATTTTTATGTGACTTAAACCTCGTTCAGGCACACCGCATGCTGACGAGCTAGAAGCGAACTGATCAAGCGCACAGCGGGACAAAAAAATTAATATCTCCGGAATGGCATATGAAGGGCAAATTTTTGAGTACATTTTATTAAACGGGAACGTTTGCGGCATATTATGACACAAGTTTAATTTTTTTTCAGCGTGAAGAACACATACAAAATTTCAATTGTTTATAATAAATGTATGCAAAATTGTTTTATTTAAACAAATTTACTATAATTAAATGATCATTCTATAGTCTAAACATTGCTACAATAGTGTGTAAAATTGAATTCAATTATACAGAGTGGTCCCAGAGATTCTATTTTTTCAATTTTACCTAAACACTTTACTGCCTGGTTTTGCAAATCATTTACATATACTTTTGTTACTTTATACAATGAAAACTATAATTTTCTTAAAGGTCTAAATATAAATCAATGCAGGAAAAATCTAAAACAAAAATACTTAGGTATTCAGTTTAAATAAACATTTTTTTTCTGTAGATCGTCTGTCTGGTTTTGCATTTACTATTATTTCCTATAATTTATTTTTCTTATTAGGTACCTAATTAAAAAAATAGATTTATGACTGTACTTGAACATATTTTAAAAACTATATATTTTCTTTAGCTCTGATATGTATTTATTTTACAGATTTTTCGATTGTGTTATTATACAATTGCTGTTCTTGTTTCACTTCTTTTGTAATATGGGTTAAGTGGAAGAGTAGCTTTTGCTAAACTTCGCCCATTTTCTATTAATAAAGGCAATATTATTATTATTATTATTATTATTATTATTATTATTAGTAATTTTATCTGGATGAAAACATCTCTAAGTTTTAGTTTTAAGTGATCAAGTTATTTTTATTGTTTAAATGCTTTGTATTAAATAATATTGTGCTATGATCTAAAATTATATTATGATCCACAATATAATCCACCTGCACGACATTGGTGAATATATGATCTAGGGTATAATCATTTCTAGTACTTTTACTAACAACAGTGTTAAGGCCGAACGAAGTAAAAATATTACATAATGCATTAAAAAACTTGGCATCTCTCTTAGGGTCTAAATTAAAATCACCTGTCCCAATCATGGCAAGTCCTGGTTTATATAACAAATCTAATACTTTGTACATATTATCAGAAAATAAATTAATATTTTCCACTAATGGAGATCTATAGCAACATAGAATTATGGTGGGTTTGCAGAAATCTGGTTTACACGATATTCCACAAATTTCAAAATCTTTTTCTAGGTAGAATTTATTTAAATTTATTGGATTAGCATCTAAGTCTTTGTGACACCAGATTCCAATACCTCCTCCCCTAAATTGTGCTCAACAGAAATGAGTAATATTAACAAAACCTCCAAAGGCCTATCTGTTCACTGGAACTACACCATGTTTCAGTTAAACAAAGATATTTTAATTCTAGATTTTTTATGATATATTCACTATAAATTAGGTCTATTGCTTCACTGTTAAGTGACTGACAATTGAGCAATAAGCCATCATATTTTGTTAAGCATTTAGTTGTTGCACTCTGGTATTTCTTTCTTCGGTGAAAAAACTGAGAAATAAAGGCACCTTCAGTCCACATGTCCGCCGTTGTTGCTTTATCATAATTAAAAAGATTTACTGTAACTTTAAATGATGAGTAATGCTGAGGATATTTCGATAAAACCACTTCGCACTTTCTTTTAAATAGTCTACAATCTCTTCAGATTTAGTGCCAGGTTGAAGCCTGGACACGTATATAAATACTTTTTTCGGTACTACCTTAAGCAAGCTTGTTTTGTTGTTGCCTATAACCTACTTTTTGTTTTTTGTTTGATTTGTTTATGTTTTTTAACTACAGTAGACCATTTATTAGTGTCTCCATCTACAAGGGTTATTTTGAATATTGGTCGAATTATTAATATTAATTAATTCAGTACACACTTTTTTGGACTGTGCTTGCAAAATTGCAGTTGACATTTCATTTTTTGTTATTATTTTGGGTGATTTATCATTATATTGATCTTTCTTATTCACATTTAAATTTTCTATATTACTTTTGGTTTTATTTTTAGTTTGAACTTCATTGTATGATTTAGATAAAACAGGAAATTTAATTGTAGTTGAGGTTTGTTTGTCACCAGGTGAGATTTTTTAATAGTATTAATTGCTCTTGTAAAGAAGTTTTAGCAATTTGTTGGTTGGAAATAATTAAATCTTTTTCAACCAATAACTCCTTTAAGTGACATATTTCCACCATTAAGGAATCATTTTCTTCATAACATTCTTCTTTACAACATTTAATTTCTTTATCGCTAACAAAAACAACATTTTTAAGGAGTTTTGCACAGCTTGGATGCATAAAACCGCCACATAAGGTACATTTTACACCATTTATTGCGGAGCTTTTGCATTTCTTACAAATTTTAGATGTTTCTGCAGGATTGGTCATTTTTGATAATTATATATAATAATATGAATCATTAAACACTATATAATAATATAATCTAGTAGTATAATACAACCATAAAATCTAACATCTGCTAGATGGATGGTTATAATTGTTAAAATTGTTCCGATTTTTTTTATAGTTCTTTTTCATTAAGAATACGAAAAAAAAATCCAACAAAATATTTGTATAATTAAAACATTAAAATAATAATAAAAATAATAAATATTACTTATTTATATATTATTTTTACTTTAGGGGAGGTACAAACCAGTGCTTACCCAGGACGGATTATAGTAAGAGAGCCCAAAGGGAACATTCAGCCTACAATCAGCGTGGATAAATATAATGCTAGACGAGTCGTGCTGGGTGAGGATGTCACATTACCTTGCGTTGCACAAGGCCACCCAGTCCCAGGATACTACTGGAAAAGAGAATTGCAGGGTCAAAGTATACCTGTTGCACTAGGTGAACGACTTACGATTCTTTCAGCAGGATTACTTAGGATATCGAAGGTGAGTTGGTGTAATAAAACACTTCGAAGTTTATAGGGCCTATTAGGTTTTATTTATTTGTGAATAGTCTTTCGGGAGTTCTTAAGAAGATTTAGGTTTCTTTGATAGTATTATTATTTTAATTTAAATGACTGTTGATTTTAACCTATTTTGTTTTTATATTACTATGCTAAAGAAAGTTTAATTTAATTTAAATTAAAAACAAAAAACAGGATTTCGTCACAAACAATGCTGTTTTAATTGTCCTCCGTAAAAAACATTAAATCAGTGGTTTTTTATGGGAGTTCTTAAGAAGATTTAGGTTTCTTTGATAGTATTATTATTTTAATTTAAATGACTGTTGATTTTAACCTATTTTGTTTTTATATTACTATGCTAAAGAAAGTTTAATTTAATTTAAATTAAAAACAAAAAACAGGATTTCGTCACAAACAATGCTGTTTTAATTGTCCTCCGTAAAAAACATTAAATCAGTGGTTTTTTATGGTGAGATCCCTTAAACCAAGAAGTGGCAGGTACATATTAAAATAAATTAAATATACAAATTAATTATAATTTATATCATAACAACGTTAATTAATAATATTATTTTGCAGCTCTCATATATAATTAGTGTTTTTCATATTAGGTTAACTCGTATTTATAAACTAAAAACTTTAATAGAACCTTGCACTGTGTTTTTTGTAATAATCATTATAGGATTTTTGGGTTAAATAAATTTAAATTGCAGGTTAAAATTCTTTAACCCTTTGTTTCCTGATGGGTTCATGATGGTTTTACAATGAAACCAAAAATAATTTTTCGCTACGTTCCTAGTAGCATTTGCTTAATTACCTAAAATTTATCACGTATACAGACTCCTACATGAATTTACTGGGCTCTACCGTTTCCTATCTGCCAAGGGCAGGAAAAATAAATAAACAACATCAAAATCGTTTAGACTTGTCAGCCTAACGTGCTTCCTAAGAAAGACGCTAGAACGGCTAATTAATAGGCACATTAGATACACAACATTAAAGACCAACCAACCCTCTAAACCAACAACAATATGCATACCAACCAGGAAAGTCCACAGACCTAGCCCTGAACGACCTAAACAGACTTATCTCCAAATCCCTGCACGATAGGGGAATAGCCATGGTCAACCACCTGGACATTTAGCCACACCACTATAAAATCCCTAGAAACTTCCTGAAAGCAGTGCCACTAAGTGCTAGACTAAGGCCAGTCTAGCTGTAAGGACCATCTATCCACACTTTTATGGAATAACCTGGTGGATCTACTGACTAAGCCCTCTTGATGGCTTTTATTATCTAGGGCAGAAGTTCCCAAAGTGTGCGCCGCGGCGCCCTTGGGCGCCGTGAAGTCAGCCCAGGGGCGTCGCGAGGCTCCAGTCATCACCCCTTCCAATCAGAAAAACAAAATATTGAATGCTTTATACGTATATAAAGGCCCTGGCTTAACACAGGAGTGGTAAGACGTGTGGAAATTTTTGACCACGTAATATGAAGACAATTTAGGGCCTATGTTATTGGATTTCAAAAAAGGTAATTTTGGCCCACCCTAGTGTACAGGTCGACCGTCCACTGTCTGGGCTCACGTCATGATAAACTGTTTTAATTATGTACAAAAATTCACAAAATTTGGAAATAAATAAAATGCAAATAAATTACGCAATATTACCTAGGCTAAAAATAGAAAAGTAAACAACAAAATTAAGGAACATTCGAGCAAAATCACTTTTATCAATTTTTTTCGGTAAATCTTTTCTTTGTCAATTTCGCATCTTTAGCTTTATTTCTATTGTCTACTAAAGTGATTTGGCCCAAAAAACCCTATATCGATGTTAAAATTACATTTAAAAGTTGATTTTAGAGCAAAACCGGTTAAATACACATTTTTTTACTTAACCTAGTCGGAGGATTTAATGATAAATACGTTTTTATCTTGTAAAATAATTTGCTAATTAACTTTTTTATGTTTAATTTTATTTTTGCACTAAGAATATGTGTACTTTTAAAGTTTTATAAAGCGTTAATAATGTATCACACCAACACACACCTAAAGAAATATCTTCTGGTTTGTAAAAGATCTTCGTTGAAAAGCAATGGTAAAAGGTTTAAAAAAACTTATTTTTGGTAAAATTTGTAATTTTAGACTTTCATATGAACACAACAAGGAAAATGAATGTGGTAAAATATACCATTATTTCCTTTCATTAATTACGCAAAACTTACATCCAATTTGCTCTAAAAAACCGGCACGAACAATGTGACTTTTTAGGCAAGTTTAAGCGGGCATTTTATCATAAAAAATATTTTTTTAAAATCATAATCCTTGGGCTTTTTTTTTAACTCGCTATTTAAAATTTGATTTTCACAAAATAAGGTTTTGTCCCCGGTTTTTGAAATTCTTTCCAGTGTGCGTCGTACTGCTTGGTTTTAACTTATTTTTGTTATATTAAATACGCCGTGACTAGAAGTACACCGGGAGTACCGCTATTAAAAGTACATCAGGTTTGTGCGCATGCGTGTTTCCATAACAGCTGATGGTAAAATTTCGGATTTATTGTTGACATTAAATTGGTACACTAAGGCCCAGTTGTATAACAGTTGGTAAAGAGCTGGTTAACTCTTGATATTAATTATGTAATTATTAAGCTAACTTTCAAGTTGTATAAACATTGATTAAAATTTAATTAAGTGATTGAAATACAATTAACAACAAAATTAATGAAATGTCAGTGTGAAATACCCAAACCAACCCAAACTCAACAACCCAACCCAACCGACCCCGCCCCATTGGGCCCCCCGCCCCATTGAGCGACCATTTAATATTATACAATTGACAAATATGCTAAATAAGGATTTTTTCCACCCGGAGTACTTTTAATAGCGGTACTCCCGGTGTACTTCTAGTCACTTTGTATTAAATATGCTATGGCTTAGTGTTGAGTACTATAAACGTAGTTTTTCAAATAAATTTTCGGTTTAGGCAATTTATTCGGCCAAGTTATCCTAAAAAGTAATATAATTAAATGAATGTGCATTTAAAATTGAATAATATTTTAAATGCCTTTATATAATTTTTTAACAACCCAAATAAAAATTAGTTGATGCCCGCAAAGCGTAGCTTGAGTTTTATGGCTTGGTTTTTTTGTTCTTGTATATATAGAGAAAATCTGGGTTATAATAGTAAAGCAGTACTAAAGACGTTAAATACCAAGATAAAGTTAAAAAACTAGTTTTGGACTGTTAACAGGCGCTTTACAAACTAGATAACCAAAACAAGGTGCTCCTAGCTTGGGTGTCAGGATACAGACGTATAAAAGGCCGCTAGGCGGCAAATTAATTGGAGAAGCCGAGAAGGCTTATCAAGTACGCACATTAGCCCAGAACTGATCTGTGTAGTGGCAGTGTCCACAGCCAAGACTTATATTAAGGAATGGACAAATAAAATCTTCCACGATTGGTGGACCAATTACTTCATCTATGACATACCAAAGAATTGATAAATGTGAGCTCTTCTAAATTCACGGAAAACCGTCTTAGACTGGACCGCAAGGGAGTCAGGGTGATGGCGTGTATGATCACGGGCCACTGTAGGCTTGATAACCACATGGAACGCCTAGGACTAGCAGACGAGGCCACATTTAGGTTTTGCCAAGAGGAGGACGAAACACCACTACACGTACCACATACCACATGCCACTGCGAGGCACGGTGTAGGATGCGCTTCGGCCAGATGACTACATCAGAGACCCACTCTCCAAGCTTTGAAAGCTATTAGCTACAAACAATCTAAATACAGTGGTATACGAAAACTTAAGTAGCCCTTTTAGGGCAGTGGTGCAGGACTTTTAGCCACCCAATATCTAATCTAATAACTGTAGAAAATATTTTATAATTTTTTTTTATTTAAAAATTGACAGTTACAAAAATATAAATAAAGAAATTCTTTATACAAAAATATTCAGCTCGATTCCAACAGCATCGTTATAGCAAAATTTACGCCTTAGGATTATGGAAACTTTTTTAAGTGTGCTGTGCGCCTACTAGCAAAAATAATAGGTGGAATAAAGAGTTGAATGTTTGAATTTGGAAATATCTTGCGTGAGCCTGATGTCCCATATCAGTAACATGCTCAAATAAATGCAGCGCAACAAAACACTAAAAACACCACCAAAAAATCAAACTTGCATATACGCGCAGCAAATGTTTTTATATGCCCTTAGTATACAAGTTTTAAAAAAATTTAAGAAGTGAATGGCGTTTTTTTTCTAGCTCCATGACTTCACAAGTCACGACTTGGTAATGACTAGGGATGGGATTTTAGTTATTTTACCTTTTTTCAACCGATGTAACTATTTGAAAACCAATAATGCCAAAATGTGTTTTAAAAGATTTTCTTTTATATGAACCTAACTTGTTTTTACCTTTTTTACCTTTTTTGAAGGTTTTTGCTTTAAACTACCTTTTTATACTTTTCTTACCTATTTTTTTAACTAGTTTTCACCTTTTTTTACCTTTTTTGGAGATTTTTGCTTTAAACTACTTTTTTATACTTTTGTTACATATTTTTTAATTTGTCAGTTTATTTTCACATATTTGTTATCTATTTTTACGTATTTTTACTTATTTTATTTTTTTGTGTTCTTTTTAAATTTTCCGCCAATATTTTATCCAGGGCGTGCAACTCAACGGTATAGAATTTTTTCTTATGGTCACAGCATAGAAATTATTCTATTATTCTAAATTATTTCTATGGGTCACAGACTGTAACAGTAACTTTCTTTACAGTATTTCTTTGTATTGAGCTTATGTTCTGTCATAGAATTTCTGTGTAGTGAGTGTCACTCAGTGAAACACAGTTTATTGCATGGAAATAGTTTATTGTGGGTATGTTCTGTGTTTGGGTATGGGGCTAAACAAAATTATAAAAAAAACTTGAACTTTTAATGTTTTTTTTACCTAAAATGCTGTTTTTTAACCTAAAATGCTTTTTTAGTACCTTTTTAGTTACCTATTTTTCAGTTTTTAGTACCTAAATATCCCATCCCTAGTAATGACATAATAAAGTAGGGAACAAATATTGGGTCCAATCACTTTCTCAGCAGTGCACCAAGGCCCTTTGTATAAAACTTAATGGAGCTGAACAAAATTTAAAATCGTTTTTTTGATTTATGGCCAGGTTTTTGGGCACTTGGGACCACTATGCAACCATAAATGTAACTTATGATTAAGGAGGTTGCTGTGTCATATAAATAATAAAAAGGTTTTTAAGTATTTGTACATGACTATACTATATCATGCGATAAGAAAGCTCAGTATACAAATTTAATTTAAAGTTTATATAATATACTCGTATAGTCTAGTATAGTCTTGTGAAAAATGCATATAAATCATACGCTTATCAAGCTTTTAACTTAAATTCTGTAACATTTATTTAAACATAGAAAAATAACAAATATTTGTTATACAAAAGTGTAGATATAGTTATAGTTTGTAACATTATTCTTTGCATTACATTAATTGATAATATATTAACTATTATTTAGGTTAGGTTAGAAGATAGAGGTGTGTATGTGTGTTTTGCAAATAATTCAGCTGGAGAAGAAAGTGTTAGAGTCACTTTAGAAATAACTTCTTCCTTAACAGCACATATACAACCTCAGGGGCAAGTGGTTGATGTAGGAAAAGACGCGACGTTTCAATGCATAGTAAATGGCTTTCCAGTTTCCCAAACATCTTGGCTTCATAATGGTAAGTATTTGCTATATGTACATGTATTTTTTATAAAAAATTGTTTTTGCTTAATTAATTATGATTTATAAAAGTAGATATATTAACAATTCTCTTATTAAGGAAAACCTATTGCACCTAATGGTAGAGTGGAAGTAATGGTGGAACCATCCAGGTTAACAATTCATCATCTAACAAAAGAAGATCGAGGAATGTATCAATGTATTGTTAGCAATAACTGGGACCAAGCACAAGCCATATCCGAATTAGATATGGGTGATGCTGGTCCAGAATTGATCTATTGGTTCTCTGAACAAACTCTTCAACCTGGACCCACCGTATCTTTAAAATGTGTGGCCACTGGAAATCCACCACCGCAATTTACATGGGCATTGGACGGTTTTGCTATTCCTGATGATCCCAGATTTCTTGTTGGACAATACGTTACCATACAGGATGATGTGATTAGTCATGTCAATATAAGCAATATTAAAGCTGAAGATGGAGGTAACTATATTAGTGCCTACAAATACGTTCTAGCTTAATACATATAATTAGTATTATAACTTTTAACGTTTTAAGATGATATTTTATATTAATCATAAATTTCAGGTGAATATACATGTACAGCGCACAATAGTGTGGGAAAAATTTTTCACAGCGCTCGAGTAAATGTCTACGGACTTCCGTTCATCAGAAAAATGTCTAGAATAACAGGAATTGCTGGAACAAATCTAATAATTAAGTGTCCTGTAGCAGGATATCCCATAGAAACAATAACTTGGGAAAGAGATGGTCAATTATTACCTGTTAATAGACGTCAAAGAGTATACACAAATGGTACTTTAGTGGTTGAACAAACCCAAAGAAAAGAAGACGCAGGAACCTACACATGTCAAGCACAAAACAGACAAAGAAATTCGGCAAGAAGAGACGTAGAAGTTCTAGTTATTGGTATGAAGTTATTAGTATAAATTATGTTTTCCAATTTATATTTTTTTCTGAGAAAAACTGATAAAAGTTTGATAAAACCTTAATAGTGCAGACAGTGCTATTTTTCGGCACGCGAAAGCGGTTAAAGGAACGACGCTTAGCGGAAGAGACTCTTTCCGTGAGTATTAGGTACAATATTTTACAAACAAGGGAATCTCGAAATTTTATTTTTCAGTTTCCATTTGTAGAAAAAATATTTTTCCTACAACCGATCCTACTTTTCCGCACGCGATTGCCGCTGAAAGAACGACTTAAATTCGGGCACGGACTCCACTGTAAAGTGCTCATAAAACATTTTCTTTACTTTCACTGTAAAAAACTGTCCATTTTCAAGAAATACATTTCGATTTATAACCTTTATAATCTGTGTTTATAAAATATAAAAATTTGACGGTGACACACAGATTTCCCTATTGTTTCATAGATGGCGCTTTATAAAAATATTTGATTTAAATCATTTTAAGATAATAATAAGTATTTGTCGTAGAAAAAGTATAGTATGCACCTCGTTTATAAACGTTTCTATACAGTCATTAATTTAAGAACTCGCTCGCAAGCTCGCTCGTGCCTAAATTAAATTCGTGTATAAAATGGCGTTTATCAAACTTGATACATAATATACTATTAAATTTTCGTTTGATAATTAAAAAAATAAGTTAAGTTTTGAAAAAAAAACAAAAATAAATTTATAAGAATACAATTTTTAAAATTTTTTTAAATATTTTATTGCGTGTGTTAAATATTTACTATCTTTTTTAGTTCCTCCAAAAATTTTACCAATTAATCCTATGACCGATCTTTTGCGAGAAGGAATGCGTGCTGCAATAACTTGCCAGATAATGGAAGGCGATTTACCGTTGACATTTCGCTGGGAACGTAATGGAAAAGTGGTTTCTAATAATGCTGCTCTAGGGACTATTATAAGACGAATCGACGAATTCTCTTCTTCTTTAATTATTGATCAGGTAACATCAGCCCACAGCGGAAATTATACTTGCATCGCAAGTAACGTCGCAGGTTCAGAGAAGTATATTGTTCCTCTAACTGTTAACGGTAAGTGTTTCTAAACTACTTAAATATTTTCTATTGTAATGTCCTTATTTGTTTCAGTAATATTTTAAAATGGTTTTATTTTTGTAATAATAGTTATATTTAACACACATTTTAACTGAGCTAGGTACAAAAAGGATTTTGATTATCTTTATTTTATAAACGTTAGAAAGCATTTTCTGTTTTAAAATAATGATTTGAAAAGTTTTTGGTTATGTTAAAATATTTCAAGTCCAAATATACAACTCTTCGCATTAAAAAAATTTTAATATGATTAAATCGTGCAAGAAAATTATATTTCATATCATCATTTAGCCAACTCACCACGGGAGAGTGGCTGCATGTCCAACCATCGCGCATGGCAAATTTTTTCATGATCTCTTTTAGATAAAGCTTTAGAACAGCAACCATTTTGTATAGCACAACAGATCTGATATAAATATTGCTGATAGGATATAATAGGATTTAAATTTACTGAAACTTTTGTATGGGTTTGGTATAAGCTAAATATAAACCAATTGGCCCAGAAAACAAGTTTGGTCCTTTTGTTTGCCCATATAAATGTTGAAGAAGGTGACGTAGAATTACGTTTTGTTTGTTGTGTTTTTTTTTTAATTTGAACTTTCCAGACAGTATTTACGTTATTCCATGACAGCCGATTGCTTTGAGGTTCTTTGAATTGACATTTTTTTTGTTCATACACGATAGGACATTTTTGGCGATGTTTGCAAAACAAATTTATTTTCTGGCTCGTATTAAGTCTACATATTCCTATTGTTTAAAAATGCGGTGGCCTTCAATTTGCATTATTTTTTTATCTTTTTTACCATCAAAATGGATTGCTTTTATATATTTTCTTTCCTCTGTAGCATTTTTTTGTACGTGCTTTCGTTTTCTTTATAATTATCTACGGATCTTGTTCACTACGTTAACTGGGTTGTCTGATGAAATAAGTCCAAAATCTTTCAGGGTAGCTGTTGCAATTTTAGCTACTGTTCAAATTGATGCAAGTAGTGTAGAAGGCGGGTTCCTGACTCAAACTGGATGGCATGTGTTACCATTCAGTATTTTCAGGATGTCTTCTGCTGTTGAAGACAATGCCCAGAAGGTCTTCAGATGGATTTTCAGGATTTTCAGTGCCGAAGAGGTCCTTTTCAGGATGTCTTCGGATGCTGAAGGTCAATGACCTGAGGGTCCTTTTCCTGAAAGATAAGGTCCTTCGAGGTTCTGGTTTATCTCTCAAATCTTAGGTTGGTAGTAAATAAAATTTGGTTGGTACTACTGTCTCACTAGATTTTATCTCTTAAATCTATGTCACGTGATTATGACGATGTGATGACGTAATATGAAAAATTAAAAAATATTTTATATTCGCTGGGGTTTGAACCGCGGACTTGTCGATTCATGGACGAATACATTACATTAACATTAAAAACATTAAAAACATTTATTCATAATATTCATGATTTACAATACAACATATATATCACAGTTAACATTTTGTTATTGGTTTCCCGAACAGACATTACATATTTATTTGTGGGCCCAAATGGGCTACGGGTGCCAGAAGGGCGCAGGGTCCTTCTCGCCGACGATGGTAGTCAAACCAACACAAAAAACATCCCGTACATAGATGGAACTCGGCGCTGCTACCCATTTTTTGCGCTTGGCGCTTATGAGGGTGTTTTGGGTTCAGAGACCTTTCGGCGTTTTTCGTGTAGTATGCATTTAAATGCTTATATTGTGGTAAACGAGGTCGGTGTTACATTCAAGGAAAAATTACAAAAAAACCTTGTATCTGGAGCTAAGGGGGTGTTTTAACCCTTAAATTATTGTGGGGCTAATATATGAGGGGTTGGGGTAACTATTTTTGGGGTAGCGAGCCTTTTCAGCCACCGATCCCCGAGGCGATTTCGCAGTCTGTACACCTTTATCTAGATATAAAGGTGTAGCGTCCGCTCGTCACCACGTCAGGGAGCGGCAGCTGAAAAAGTTCGCCTTATCAAAATTAATTGTTTTGCTGATTTTTTTGAAAAAGTAGGAATAGAATTCATTCTTTGGAGGTTTTTTAGGCCTTATGGTGAATAAACATATTTAGGAAGTATGTTATTTCGACCGTCGCTACACCTTTATTTATAAAGACAAAGGTGTGCCGACTGTTTTATAAAATGCGATATTTGGGGTTTAAGTGGTTTTTATGTCGAACCACTATTCGATTGTTTGTGGGGGTGTTAATGATTATGTGTTCCCACATTTTGGGGTTAAAAGGGCATTTTTGACCTCCGGTTTCACAAGGCGCTTTGCTGTCGGTACACCTTTATTTAAAAATAAAGGTGTACCGACCGCTCGTCGCCACGTTAGGAAGCGGCAGCCAAAAACACTCTTTTTGCCAAAAGTCGTGGTTTTTGATAGTTTTTAACCAGAATCAGGCTGGCGTTCGTTTTTTGTGATGTCTGTGATGCCTTTAGTGGTATTGTGCCCTTCTTCATCTATCGTTCTCCGGCGAGCAAACTCAGTCGCTACACCTTTATCTTGAAAGATAAAGGTGTACCGACCGTTACGTTCGCACGTCAGGTAGCGACAGGCGAAAAAGTGCGCTTATATAGGGGCATGACTGCTCGTATACATCATGAAGCACATATTTTTGAAAAGTTATTAAATACCGCCAGAGGTGTCGATAGACGCCAGAAACTGAGTTTTGGCCAAATTTACATGCATTTTCATGGAGGCATTAGATCCTCCATGAAAATAGGAAGGCGCTTGTAAATAAGGCCGTGCTTCAGTCTCTGGTTGTCGCTGTGCCTGATTCTGGTTATACTGGCAGTAAGTGGCGACTTCTTGATGTTATGACTATAAAAATCATTCGAGATCGCATGTATATGCTGTTTCAGTGGACAACACATTGCCAAATTCTGTATTTCCTCTATGCGAGTGTATCGAGGGGCACGCGTGATAGTACGCAATATTTTTGTCTGTAGCCGTTCAATCTGCATGTACCTGGTGTCCGATATGTCACACCACGCTGGGGCGGCGTAGGTGATGATGGGCCGTAGAATGGTCTTATAAAGCAGCATTTTATTTTCAGTGGATAGGGCACTGGAGCCGACGATGAGCGAATATATCGCTTTTAATGCTCCGTATAGCCTGCCCTTACTGTGGTTCAGCTGGCGGAACCAATTTAGGCGTTTATCTAAATAAACGCCCAAATATTTTGCGTAATCGCGCGATACTACGGCGCGCCCGTCTATCTGTACGTGGCTGAAAATGCCAATGTTTGTGTATTTTCGAGAAAAATTAACCAGCTCCGATTTAGCTGGATTCACCTTAATAAGCCACCTGTCCCAGTAGGCTTTAAGCATGTTAAGGTAAATCTTTACCTGATCATTTGCAACCGACGACGCGAAGGAATGGGCATAAAGCGCAGTGTCGTCGGCATACAGAGCTAGTTTACATTTCTCGAAATGTGTCAAATCACTGGTATACAACGTGTACAGCTTCGGGGCTAACACCGTGCCTTGTGGTACGCCAGCTTTGACAACGAAGGCTTCTGAGCAGGTTCCTTGTACTCTTACCCGGAAAGATCTGTTACGCAGATAAGAGTTGAGCAATTTAGTGAAGTGAGGCGGTAGACCCAAAAGGTGAGACTTGTGGACTAGTCCGTCCGTCCAAACAGTGTCGAATGCCTTTTCCATGTCGAGCATTAGCATAACAGTGGACTGGTCCCTGTTATACGCCTGCTTAACGTCGTGGACTATTCTCACTATTTGGTGGACGGTGCTATGTCCGGGTCGAAAACCAAATTGCTCTGGTGGCGTCAGTTTTAGCCTTTTGTCTAGCCTATTAATTATGTCCAGTAGTAACCTTTTAGCCACCTTGGACAGAGTGTTCAGCAGACTAATCGGTCTATAACTGTTAGTTAGAGTGGCATCTTTTCCGGGCTTGGGTATGGGAACTATAATAGCTTCCTTCCACTGAATTGGATAATGCTGCTTCCTAATAATGGCGTTAATGATATATGCAAATTGAACAACAGACTTACGTGGCAAATTCTTTAACAATATGTTGTCCACTGTATCAGGCCCTGGAGCCTTGTTATTAGGAAGTTTCCGAATGATATTCCTAATCTCCATTGGAGAAGCCAAGAGCTTAGACAGTTCTCTCGCAGATATATTATGAGGCTGGCTTTCGTTGATATTATCAGCAAATGTTATAGTATTTCTTTGCTCGGCCGTCGGCGAAGGAATGCTGGTGGTATGCACTGATTCGAAGTGACGGCCTAGAGCATTGGCTTTATCAATAGTATTGAAGACTTTTCGATCGTTGACTGACAACGTCGGAATAGTGGCTTGCTGACCGCCCTTTAGTCTTTTAGTTACTTTCCACAGAGAGTTATCTTTGACACTTAGTGACGCTAGGAATTTTCGCCATGCTGAATCTTTAAAGTCCTCGATCATGTATTTGATATCTGTTCTTAATTGGTTATAACGATCTCGATCCTCCTGCCTTCTGTGCTTATTGTACAGTTTGCGGTGCTTATTTTTGACTTTTATCAAGTCAACTATATTGGCAGGCAACTGGTCTTTGGGTGGCTTGACAGTGATTCGCTTGGTAGTGAGCGAACGTGCTGTCTTAATATTGTCCACAAGGGCATCTATTTCATCCTCTATCTGCGATGGTGTTTCGATGTTATTATTGATAATCGTGAGTCGATTCATGTGGGCTCTATACACACTCCAGTCAGTATTTTTGTAATCGTATACCTTCTTAGTTGGAGGTATCTCTTTATTGTACTGAATGGTAGCTGAGACTGGAATGTGGTCAGAGTCCATCTCATCGATCACCTCAACATCTGAAAGATTACTGATGCCCCTGTAGACCATCACATCTATTGTGGTGGATGGACGAATACGCTAGCCAAGAGACCACTTGACCAACTTATAACTTTTACCTTGAATGATCTACATACGCTAGCTTTGCCACGTCACACCACACAATATTTTACG